AAGACTGTAAAAACTTTATTTCTTGATTTGCTTAAATCAACTTGGAGATATAATGAACAGGATTGCCATGAAGAAATTTTAGCAACACCAATGTCCAAGAGATAACAAGTCTCTAAAAAGTCTGGCATCGTGGAAATGTCAGTCGGTACGAGCGAGGAGAAGAAAGGCGTCCTCAGTTTGAAGAAGAAAGACCGTAATTAATAAATTCGCGGGAAATCGTGAGGCAATCTTCTGCGTTCAAACGCTACTTTTCCTAAGATAGCGTGACATAATGACGGCGTTAAGATGGAATTAATGGGTCGTGGGGAGCGCCTAATTTATGGTCATTCGGTACTTTCGTACAAGAACAAAATCTTTGACAAAGGGAAGGTGTAAGCTGTATTACAACGTCAATTATGACAATACATGTAAAACTGGTGATATGAAATGACTTGAAAAACAAGTTATTTGGCATCACGTTTTTAGCAGATCCGTGTGAACCGAATCATTTATTTAAAGTCTACTTTCTTGAAAGGGTTTGTTACAGTACAAAATACACATAATCTCTGAATTTGCCAAGAGGAACTGGTCGCAATTTCGAGATAGTGTTATCTTGATTTCAGAACCAAAGCAAGAAACGTCGGATAATTTAAAAAAAAAAAATTAATCCACTTTGAATAGCGGACAGAAGAAATGTCTATCACCAAAGAGTTTTGGTGTTAGCGGTACAGTCGGTTGAAATTTATAAAATATCTTTTTCGGATAATTCGATTTCACAAGTCCCCAGCTATTGCTATTTCTAATATATCAACTCCTGTATAAAACTCGTTGACAATCCATTCTTATAGTAAAATCATTTCCAATGCATTTCTATAGTAAAATCATTTCCAATGCATTCTTATAGTAAAATCATTTCCAATGCATTCTTAAAGTAAAATCATTTCCAGTGCATTCTTATAGTAAAATGATTTCCAATGCCTTCTTATAAAATCATTTCTCATGCATTCATATAAAAAAATCATTTCCATTCCTATACTAAAATCATTCCCATTGCATTCTTATACTAAAATCATTTACTATGCATTCTTATAGTAAAAATCAATGCATTCTTATAGTAAAATCATTTCAATTCTTATAATAAAATCATTCTTATAGTAAAATCATTTGCAATGCAATAGTAAAATTATAAAAAAATCATATCCAATGCATTCTTATAGTAAAAATGCATTTCCAAATGCATTCTTATAGTAAAATTATTTAAATGCATTCTTATAGTAAAATCATTTCTAATGCATTCTTATAGTAAAATCATTTCCAATGCATTCTTATAGTAAAAGCATTTCCAATGCATTCTTATGAAATCATTTACAATGCATTTCAGCATTATGTGACTAAATTCACTGACTAATGCTTTAATTGTGAGTTCCATCCCTAGACAGGGTAATGCAATCATAGGCTAAGTGTAGACAGAGCGATCAATAAATTAAAAAAAAAAACAGAATAAGGCGAGATTTCCTTATAACTTGGACAGCGGTGGACAAAGGAAAATCTATCCCCGTAAATTAAATAAAGCGCCCAGTTCGAAATTCCCAAATGATTACCCGGATCGACAAAGACCTGACAAAGGCCGGGACCAAACGACCGAAACGTTCTGGTAATAACAAAAAAACATGAACGCATTAATCCGATTGTAATAACTCCTCTTTCTGAGATTTTAGAAGTTATGACGGCTTTTATTTTTGAATTATTGAATGTTAAATCGACCATATAAAAAAGAAGAGTTTCAGTGTCTGTCACGCCTTTGTGTCTATTTAAACGTATCTGCGTCGGTCTTGTCCTGGCGTCTCGGCTTCAGTCACTTTCCCACGGCCGTGACATGGCTTCCCTCTGTCTTTTCTATAATTATTTCCATGGCAATTGTTCTAATGAGCTCTTTTCTTTTGTATCTCAGCTGCATACATTTAAAGGCAGTACTAAATTGGCAAATAGGTCTCATGGCTTTACTTTTGAAACAACTAGATGCAACCGTATGTTCTATTCTAATATTTTCTTTTCTCGCACTTCTCGTTTGTGTAACACTTTTCCGGTTTCTTATTTGCCAGTTATTTATGAGCTTAAAAGGTTTAAATGCAGCATCAAAAGCCTTCTGCCTTCCTGGATCTTGTTCTTTTATTCTCTTTTCTCCTCACTAAAGTTTTCTCATCTTCTTTTTACACACTCAGTAACCCCTTACGTCTCAATAGCTTTATTGCCTTGCTTGAAACGATTGAATATTTTTCGTGATACTGAGGTGTTAAAAACTATACCAGGTTTGTTTAGATATAAATTTCTTAAAATATGAGACGATCCGTCTAATTTCTATCAGCTTTCCCTTTCTCATATACTTGATGAATATCATTTAGTTGGTTGGTTGGCAAACATGGACTTTTGTGCCCGTAAAAAGAAAACAGAAAGTCAAAAGGACAGTTTTTCCCTTGACACCGTTATTATTTTAACTACCTTCAGAGTTGATTGTTTTAAAAAGCATGTATGTGCGTGTGCAGCTATCTCAAAATCGGACATATCCTAGCCTACCAGACAGTTAAATGCAAACTGATATTTAGTGACCGGTATACAATGCCAAAAGCAGGTAGTGATCAATTTAACGTATGAAACGAACTGAGCACGTTTTAATATCTCCTCGGGAACAATTTTCTTTGTATGTCCGTGAAATATATTCACGCCAGTTGTTCATGACTTTAAACGTACTACTGGATTGGCAGCTAGGTCCCATCGATTTGGTGTTGAAATACCCAGACATAACCGTAATTTCTAATAATTTTTTATCACGCATATTGCTTTTTATTCACTGAGCCACGTGTCCTTGAGGATCGAGCGACTTGAAACAAAGAGTTTTGAGTTCCATACCTGGCTCTGGCGATGCTGAACAAAACTTGGAGAGGCATGGTACGTGGAACTAGAAAAATCTACCCAGTTGGACGAAATAAAGGGTCCTGTTCGAAATTCCAATCACCTGAAAAAGGCCGGAGCGTACAACGGCCGGAACGTCGTGAATATGGTAATAAAGATGAGGACAACAGTTCGAACATTGTTAATCATGTAAATAATTGATATCTGAATTTTTCATGATTAAGCCAAATAACTCCAAAAACCCAAATTGGTCTCTGTCCTGGGTATGACGATAAACTACATCTGCGTCCTGGGTATGACGACAAACTACATCCGCGTCCTGGATAAGAAGATATACTACATCCAACAGCAAGGCCTCTGATCAGGAGGTTTTGAGGAGTGCGGAACCACCTCTTAATTGCTGTTGTTCCCAGGTCCAAACTGACCCGTAGTGGTAGCACCTGTTAGGGTCCCAGCTATGGGCAAATATTTAACTCCTAAACTGGGGTCAAAACACTATTAAAGTGTAAAAATAAGTTTTAATATCAGAAATAATTTTGTAAAAAAATTGTCATCAGAAATACTTTATCATATCCATTACTGTAAAAATTCTTTTGGCTTTGATTCGAAGAACTCACAAATGTCAGTTTTAACTTCTTTCTGTGTTACAAAGGCTGTTTCTTCCAAATGATCTGTAAGCTACGAAAGAAATGGCAGTCTGAAGGAGCAAGATCGGGAGAATAAGGCGAATGAGGAATTTTCTCCCAACCAAGTTCTCCGATCTTTGTGACGTGATTCTTGCGTGTGGGGTCGCGCATTGTCCTGACGAAACATCACCTCATTTCGATTCACTAAAGCAGGTCTTTTTTTCCTCAAAGCTTGGTTCAAACGCTCTAATTGCTGACAGTATATTTGAGCATTAATTGTTGCATTAGGTGGTAAGAATTCAAAGTGGATTATTCCTTGGCGATCCCACCAGACTGAAAGAAGAACCTTTTGCCCATGAAGTTCCCTTCTCGGCTGTGGCTGGGGTCCTTCCCCTTTACCAAGCCACTGTCTACGACGCTTAACATTTCGATAAAAGATCCATTTTTTGTCGCCAGTCACAAGTCTATCCAAAAAAGGTGAAACAAGCTGGAGAAAAGAGCAGATGTCCACTAGGGATTTGAGGTTGTTTTCAGACAATTCATGAGGCACTCATTTTCCAAGTTTAGGAACTTTTCCAAGTTGTTGAAGATGACGATGAACAGTTGTATGGTTTGAACTGAGAACCACTGCCAATTCCTCAACTGATAAAGCCGGATTTTCTTCAAGGGCTGCTTCAAGAAGCTTTTCATTAAACTCTAATGGACGTCCGGTTCGATCTTCATCTTCAAGGGTGAAATCTCCACCTCTGAATTTTGCAAACCATCTTCTGCAAGATCTTTCAGTCACACATTCCTCTCCATAAACTGAGTGAATGTTTGTAGCCGCTTTGGCTGCTGAGTTTCCTTTCTTGAACTCATAAAGCATTATGTGCCTCAAATGATTCATGTTATCAGGGTTTTAATCAAACAAAATTTAATTTTATTGTTCTCTGAAATAAAATTTGATCGGTTTAAATGCATCTAAACATAAAAATAATGTTCAGCTCCATTAGACATTATAAAATAATCTTTAAATTTCGTTCATTTTAACAAAAAGTTAAAATTCGGACAGAACTTATGGGATGACCAGATAGTTAACTAAGTAACACGCGGAATTTGATAAGTGTCATAATGGAAACTATGTTCATTATCAATACTGTTTCTACAATCCCTTCCACGCGGGCTCTTCTGATGAACATAAGTATTTAAGAAAAATATGTTTGCCTCGTTTGCTCTGAGACGTAGGCATTGTGACAGTGGCCACTCCCTGGTTTCAGATGGCGACAAAATGGTGAGCAGGAAGGCGACATCGAATGACGACGCCATTTTGAATCTGATTTCTTGTACGTTGTCGATGTAACTTTTGCCCAAATACTTTGTGTTCTGTGCCAGCATGAAAAGGCCTATGGAATTTTTTTTTTTTTGTTTTTATTATTATTATTTATTTATTTCTAGGTTCATTCAAGTGCAGAGCATTCAAAAGTAAGTCTATGGCATGGATATTATTTACTCGAATTCACAGAGAAAGAGACGTGCCAAAAAGGGTGGGAAAGATGAAAATTCAACTAACGAGAGTGATAGAATGAAAGAAAGAGAGAGAGAGTGAGAGAGAAAGAGAAAGAGAGAGAGAGAAACGGGAAGAGCAGGAGAGAACAAGTGGCAAAGAAAAAGAGAGTGTTTAAGAAGAACCACAAAAAGAATAGATTTAGAAAGAGAGAGTGAGTAAGAGGGAGAGAGAGGGGGAGAGAGTGGGGGAAAGAGAGAGAAAGAGAGAGAAAGAGAGAGAGAGAAACGGGAGAACAAGTGGCAAAGAAAAAGAGAGGGAAAGAACCACAAAAAGAATAGATTTAGAAAGAGAGAGTGAGTAAGAGGAGAGAGGAGAGGGAGGGAGAGAGAGAGAGGGGGGAGAGAGGGGAGAGAGGGAGGGAGAGAGGGGGGAGAGGGGAGAGAGAGAGGGGAAGGGGAGGGAGAGAGGGGGAAGAGAGAGGGAGAATGGGAGAGAGAGAGTGGGGGAGAGAATGATAGACAAAGAGCAAAAGAAAGAAAGAAAGCAGCATAAAGTGAGGAGAGAGAAAAAGATCGAAGATAACGTAAACAAAGGAACTATGAAGTACAATGCGAAAAATGCTAAAAGAATATTCCAGAAATTGTCTTTTTAATGATTTCACTCTAAACAAGGCGATAATGTCACTAAGACGCAAAGGAATAAGGAAGATCGAAAGAAGATGGGAAAACGTTAGGGTGTTGGAATGAACAATAAAAGAAAATTATTGGGAAAGACAAAAGATGGCGATTAATGTTGCATTTAAATTTTTGAAGATCGTAGATGACATTACAGCAAGTACACCCCAAGGCTACAACGGCCTAGAAAAGTTACTATTAGAATAAAACATTTAAAACGTCGTAAATATAAAACAGAAAAAAGAAGAGAAGACAGAAAAAAAACGGTAAAAAAAAGCAGGAGGGACCGAGGTTTTGCTAAAACGTTTTTACTCTCATTCAATATTAGCATTCCTGTCAATCCATTTTGCAGATGCAAGATTTGTATGCTAACGTTTCATTTGATCAAAAATCTCTGTTCATCTTGATTATCTGTTTGGTTCTATCTAAAATCTTGTTTTGGGCAGCGTACTGCCCCCACAGACTATCACCCAGGCCTGCATCCTGAAGAGATCAATCCAATCATATCCATCAAAAGGACAGAATTTTGACCAAACAAGCGCCTACCATTATCCCGTGAGATAAAACGATCCATGCAAAAACGACAGCAACAAAAACAACTACTAATAATTCTAATACAATCAATACAGACTCATGTTCTATGGTTCTATCTTGTTTAGTCAGACCATATTTCGTTAACCATTTCGCACCAAGCATGGCAATAAAGCCACTAAGATTGAAGGGTGTTACTGAGTGGAGAAGAATATGAGAAAAAAGAAAACATTATTAAGGGAAAAGAACAACAAATGAACAGAAATTAAGAACACAAAACGTAACGTTTGACATTGCATTCAAATTTTACGTTGATGAGTCGTGATGTGGGGTCTGGTAAGACACAACACTTCACACGACAGAATCATTCGTGATAACCGTATTAAGTACTCAGCTAGACAAACCATTGCAATAGTACTATGTTTTTTTTTTTCTTTCTAGACAATTACCCAGGAACACTTATGAATGGCTCGGTTCATGCACGACTGAAACGAGGGTAACTGGCTCTTACCATAACAAATTAAAGTTGACTAAAAAGCAAGAGTCCGAAAGAGAACTCCATAAGTGCGAGAGAAGAAACTGCTAGGATAGAACTTACGGTTACATGCAGCCATTGCAACTGTAAAATGTTCAGGCATTGCCGCCTATCAAGGAGGATGCTTGAAATCGTAAAGTGTAGGCATCAAAAAGGAAAGCTCATGAGAACAATTCATATGAAAACATTGAGGAGAAAGAGAAGTAGAAAAAAAGAAGAGAGAAGGAAGAGAGAAGAGGAGGAGTAGAGTGAGGGAGAGAGGTAAGAGAGAGAGAAGGAAGAGAGGGAAAGAAAGAGAGAAGGAACAAAGAGAGGAAGTTAAGGTGGAGGTGGAGGTGGAGGAAGAGAGTGAGGGAGAGAGAAGGAAGAGCGGTAAAAAGAGAGAGGGAAGGGAGAGAAAGAGAGAAAAGGAACAAAGAGTAATTTAAGGTGTGGAAGGAGGAAGAGAGTGAGGGCGAGAGGAAAGAGAGAGAGAGAGAAGGAAGAGAGGGAAATGGGAGAGAAGAAAGAGGGAGAGAAGGAAGATACGGGGTAGAGGAGGAGAGTGAGGAAGAGAGACATTGAAGAGAAGGAAAAAGAGAGAGAAGGAACAAAGAGAGGAAGTTAAGGTGGAGGAGGAAGAGGAGGAGAGAGAGGAGAAGAGGGATGAGAGAGAGAAGAGAAAGAGGGAAGAGAGGGAAAAGGAAAGAAGAAAGAAAGAGAGAGAGAAGGAAGAGAAGGGGAGAGGAGGAGAGTGAGAGAGTGAGAGAGAGGGAATAGAGAGCAGGAAGAGTAGGAAAGAGAGAAAGAAGGAACAATGAAAGGAATTTAAGGTGGGGAAGGAGGAAGAGAGTGATGGAGGAAGAGAAGGGAAAAGAGAGAAGGAAGAGAAAGAGAGAGAAGGAACAAAGAGAGAAGGTTAAGGTGGAGGAAGAGAGAGCGAGAGAGGGAAGTGAGAGAGAAGGAAGAGAGGGAAAGGGAAAGAAGAAAGATACAGAGAGAGAAAGAACAAAGAAAATTAATGTGGAGGTGGAGGAGAGTGAGGGAAAGAAGGAAGAGAGAGAAGGAAGAGAGAGAGAAAGAGATAGAAGGAACATAAGTGAGAAAGTTAAGGTGGAGGAGGAGGAAGAGAGTAAGCGAGAGAGGGAAGAGAGAGAGAGGGAAAAGAGAGAAGGGAGAGAAGGAAAGGGAAAGAAGGAAGGAAGATAGAGAGAGAGAAAGAACAAAGAAAATTAATTTGGAGGAGGAGGAGGGGGAGAGTGAGGGAAAGAGGGAAGAGAGAGAATGAAGAGAAAGAGAGAGACGAAGAACAGAGAGAGAAGGAAGATAGAAAAGAAACAAAGAGAGAAAGTCATGAAGACTGAAGAGAGTGATAGAGAGAAGGAAAAGAGAGAGAGGTAGAGAAATAGAGAGAGAGATAGAGAAATAGAGAGAGAGGTAGAGAAATAGAGAGAGAGATAGAGAAATAGAGAGAGGGATAGAGAAATAGAGAGAGAGAGAAATAGAGAGAGAGGTAGAGAAATAGAGAGAGAGATAGAGAAATAGAGAGAGAGGTAGAGAAATAGAGAGAGAGGTAGAGAAATAGAGAGAGAGATAGAGAAATAGAGAGAGAGGTAGAGAAATAGAGAGAGAGATAGAGAAATAGAGAGAGAGGTAGAGAAATAGAGAGAGAGGTAGTGAACATTAAAAGACCAGGATTTAAAGATAACCGAAGATAACCACAGGAATTGAATTTGCATTTTTGAAGATCACAGTTAATGCGAAAGCAAGAAACCCTGAAAAGAGAGAGAGAGATAGAGAAATGCAGAGAGAAGGAAGAGGGAAAGAGAAGGTTGAGAGAGAGAGAGGGGGAGGAGAAGGAAGAGTGTGTGAGGGAGAGGGAAGAAAGAGAGAAGGAAGATAGAGGAAGAGGGAGAATTTGAGAAGGACGAGGGGAGAGAAGAAGGGGGGAGAAGGAAGAGGGGAGAGAAGGAAGAGGGAAAGAGAAGGTTGAGAGAGAGGGGGAGGAGAAGGAAGAGAGTGTGAGAGAGAGGGAAGAAAGAGAGAATGAAGATAAAGAGGAAGAGGGAGAGAGAAGGAAGAGGGGGAGAGAATGAAGAGAGAGAGAGGGGGAGAGAAAGAAGGAAGAGCGAGAAGGAAGAGGGAAAGAGAAGATTGAGAGAGAGGGGGAGGAGAAGGAAGAGAGTGTGAGAGAGAGGGAAGAAAGAGAGAATGAAGATAAAGAGGAAGAGGGAGTGAGAAGGAAGAGGGGGAGAGAAGGAAGAGAGAGAAGGAAGAGGGGGAGAGAAGGAAGGAAGAGCGAGAAGGAAGAGGGAAAGAGAAGATTGAGAGAGAGGGGGAGGTGAAGGAAGAATGTGAGAGAGAGAGTGAAGAAAGTGAATAAAGATAGAGAGGAAGAGGGAGAGAGAAGGAAGAGGGGGAGAGAAGGAAGGGGGGAGAAGAAGAAGAGGGGAGGGGGAGAGAAGGAAGGAAGAGCGAGAAGGAAGAGGGAAAGAGAAGATTGAGAGAGAGGGGGAGGTGAAGGAAGAGAGTGTGAGAGAAAGTGAAGAAAGAGAATGAAGATAGAGAGGAAGATGGAGAGAAGGAAGAGGGGGAGAGAAGGAAGAGGGAAAAAGAAGGTTAAGAGAGAGTGGGGGAGAAGGAAGAGAGTGTGAGAGAGAGGGATAAAGAGACAATGAAGATAGAGAGTAAGTGACAGAGAGAAGGAAGAGGGGGTGAGAAGGAAGAGGGAGAGAGAAGTAAGAGGGGGAGAGAAGGAAGAGGGAGAGAGAAGGAAGAGGGGGAGAGAAGGAAGAGGGGGAGAAAGAGAGTGAACACTAAATTCCAACCTCCGTGATGGTTAGTCCACCTTCTGTAACCCTACCTGGGTTATAAGATACGTAAAGGTAACTTATTTTCTAAGTTCATTTATAAGATCTTAATTATCATTTTTAGTGGGTACACGTCTTTTCGTCGCTAACCATTTTTTTTGTATTTTCTGAAACTGTGGAATTAACATCAACCGGCCTAGACTGTGAAGTCTTACCTAAGAAAAATATGCCTCACCACAGAAAATAGATGTTTATTTCCATCAGGGAAACCATAAGTATAGCAGAATTTTACCGGTATCAATTCATAGTAATGTGAATAATTTTCAGATTAATTTAAATTTTACTGAAGTTTATTTATCTAAGAATAGTAAGTAAATTGAAATGTTCTTTGTTACCATATTTCTGGTACGAATGTTTGTCAGTTACATGTTAGAGTGTTTGGAATGTTTCATTTTAAAATAGTAAAGGAAAATATTTTATGAACGAAGCTGGAGTTGGAACATATTTCTGGAACTAATACCAGGATATTTTAACAGAAACAGATATAGAACCTTGTCAAAAATGTGACGTTAGCTCGTATGCTGCTAAACAAGAGATGAACGCGTTCTCACGAAATCTCGGAAAATCTCAAGTGCTTTGAATAAAAATCTTTACCATCGTTCAACCCCAGTTTCCTCATTAAGTCGATTCCTGCGTATTCTCGGCTTCCTTTTTCTCTTCCACAGCTATCGCGAGGAAAAACAAATCCCCGCCACCCTTGACACCCATCCGTTTTCTACTCACGACACTTCTCCCCACCCCCCCACGCCTCTCGATTCCCGCTTTTCATTTTCCAATCTTTATTCTGCGTTCGTATCCATTTGGCCAAAGCTTTCATATCAAAAAAGGACCCCCATCTCTCTCCCCCAAAATCTCTGATGTGGCCGACAGAAATAATTCCTTGCAAAATGTAAGCCAGCTTTGAACTCGACGCTTTTTCGGACTCGTTTTAAATCGCGAGAATACAAACTTCTGTTTGGGGGGGGGGGAGAAAGGGACAGGGTAGAAAGGTGCAATTGGCGGTAGTCGGAAGTGAATGACGCGCGAACTGGGCAGAGCGGCGGTGGGTGAGTGCTCTTGCTAAAAGAAGCTGGATTTAGATCTAGATGGACCTACCTTTGTTCCGGCTTCCTCTCCCCCACCCATATCTCTCTCTCTCTCTCTCTCTCTCTCTCTCTCTTGCTTTCTTTGGGTCTTTGTTTAACATCTCGCCCCGCACAATACGAAATGCTTTTAATGCTATCAACGTAAGTAGTTTTCTTTGCTTTCATCCGAGCGACTTTCGTACGTCGAACAACGGTTAGTGTGCTGATATGACAATTGGTGGTATTGAGTTCGATCCTCACCGAGGTGTTGTAACATCTTCTGTCGAAATGAATAATATTTTTTATTTAACAGGGGACGCGAAATTATAGTGGGAAAAA